ATTTCACTTCAATGGCCCCGACCTGCTTCATCTCATTTGTCTGTAGACGTCAATCTATTCTATCATGAAGGTCGTGCGAAAGACTATCTTAACAATCCTAACCTAGCTTACCCCGTGGAGTTTTTGAATTCACTGGAGCCATCAGGAGTTACTCTCCATAATCTTAATTTAAATTTTTTTAGCTCCCATTCTTCTTTCGTGACCATATTCCACCTAATATTTTCTTGTGTAAAATTTCCTTAAGATAGTACGCAGTTCTTAAGAAATTTGCTACGCTTTCTACTACTAAAGTGTTTTGTGAAAAAAGAGCTGTTTTGCAACAGAAATATATGCCCGCTCTATTATTTCTTAAGAAAAGAGCTAGGCAACAGGCTGTGAAATATCAGATGTCAAAATTCCTTGGTCACATACAAGAAATAATGGCAATTTTTTTCTTGACCGTTTTCTTGAGAGCTGGAAACTAAGCTTAATGCCAAAATTATTACGGGCTGCTGGAAAGCAGTTGTTTTCTGTAAAAAGTCCCATTAATTTCCACAGATCCTCCATTTGAATTTAAAAGCCTTCAGTTTCCGTTGGGGTTATCTTCACCATATCGATAAATAAATCTCAAGGTCTAACGTTAAAGGTGACTTCAAGCTGGAAAATACCTGCTTTACTAAAGTTATACATACGCCCCAAAAAACCAAAGTGGATTTTTCTAATGCATACTCACTCATTTTATTGGTTTTGTCTTAAAAATTATCTAAATAAAATTTTATGCAATTCGGACCACGGCAACCCGTGCCGACTTTTACTTCTATACATATAAGGCGGTATAACTATACTCCCTACAGTATTAGGGCATAACATTTAGTAAATCGGCTTAGTTTTTATCAGGTAGTCAGGATTTTTTCCAAAGAACCATATATTAAAAAAAATATATTTCCAAAGATTACACAAAATATGGATATCAATTAAAAGAAAAATTTAAAACAATATCAATTGTAACTATTGCATTTTGAAGAATCTTAGTTTAATTTAAATCCTATAGATCTATGGTCATTAGCAATAATCGCCTAAGTCGAAAAACCTGAATTTGGGAGAAAACGCTTTAAACATTTGGATTGTAATGTTAACCTTATGGGGAAGCCAAAATATTTTCATCTATAACTTTTTAAATAGCCTAGTTAACGAGATGGGAGTTTCACATATACATGGAATAGTAGTTGCAGAAAACAATAGCNAATACGACAAAATATAATTTATTTACACGATGAACTATAATAATATTCCGACCAACAACAACACTTACTGGACCAACAACAACACTTACTGGACCAACAACAACACTTACTGGACCAACAACAACACTTACTGGACGTCCGGCGCGGAGAACAATTAACGAGTTAATGAGAAACTGACGAAACGAGTTGCATACTTTTAACAGCTTTTTCACAGAAAACTAGTTTTCGCACGTAAGCTCCCTTTTCGTAGACCAGGTCACATATATGTATAACTCAATTCTTTCTTAAGTCGACTTAAGCGGTTTTTGCTTACGACAACAGAAATATATATAAGGATATTGAACGTTAAAAATTGCAAAAAAATATTGTCCTTTAAGTCCTTGGGAGAAATCCTGCCGGCCTCCTATTAAAAACATATGGCATTTTTCGCATTTTCAAAGTTTTCATTGACGATTAATGCTAGTTTTTAACTAAAACTTCAACTAAAAGTCGGCACGGCACGGGTTATCGTTATCCTAAGGCCATAAAACTTCAAATATTTATAGGCTATTCAAGCTATAAAGCACAAATATAGAGGGCATGCATATTAAAATTTGTAAACAAATTTGTTTCCATATATTTTTGGGACAGTCTAATGCAGGGCTGGCAAACCTGAGGCACGCGTGCCCATGATGACACGCAACAAAATAATTTGGGCACGGTATTAATTGAGGACGCAATTTCTCAATTACTAGTAGTAGTATTTAGTAATAGTAAGTATAAGCTAATCTCGATATTTATAGATATTTTCAAATCGACCCAACACACGTGAATCTTAATATATTTCCGAACTCCAACTCCGATGGCAAAACATTACCAATATTTTTTTCGCTCTAGAGAGCTTGTAGATTTTCAGCCAGTAAGTAGTCCGAAATGAAGGATCCATCGATTGAATGACAAAATAACTACTTTGACTCGGAGGAACTGTGATACCACAAATTAAAATCCTACTCACCCCATACCTAGACTACAAATAATACTTTCTCATCTATTCATTACAAATTTTGTATAAGCTTTATTTAGAATACTTACGCGCTTGTTTTGTTCCAATACCGAACATAATGCTAGTGCCGAAAACCCGCTGTGACACATGCAGTTCCCAATAGAAACGACCATTGTTAAGAGGTCGCTTGCCCTGTACCCCGGCCGTACCCTTGCTCCAATTCGGATGGAAATGAACGGTGCGATTGTTGGCCCCACTTAATACTATCTCCTTGGAACGATGCCGTTTACTCCATGTCCAATTGTCTTCACATCCATGCTCTAGCGGCATGACTTTCTTTCGCCGACCCATTTGGGAAGAGGGGCTTCCGATGGCCGCGTTTGCGGTACCAATTGTTGTTGCGTTTGTGCTGGAGGTCGAGGTCGCGCTCGTGGTAGCAGATGCTGCAGCTTGCAGCTCGGCAAGCGGTGCGACACGTTTTGGTGATGAGTTCAATGAATTATTGTCGTCATCCGAAGCCATCATTTTACAATTGTAACAGGACAAACACCAAATTCTGGCGAAACGTGCAATTGTGCTTGCAATCGAATTACCGAATTAACCTGCTATCTAATTCAATGTCAGTTCATTGCTTTTGTGGCGCTTCAATGTCATTCATGTCATTGATTTTTTTCAAGACTTGATGCAGCTTTTCAGAAATTCAATAGCTCTTCTAAGAGTTTGCATTTCTTTATTTCTTGCATTCAAGTTGTCTAGTCACTTTGGCATTTTGCTAGAGAAAGGCCACTTCCGGTGCACATCGACGACTACACCTCTACTAAATAAGCTTTTCACCTTTACCTGTGTAACGTTCAGCAGCTTGTACTTTTATCTAGACGCAAATCGCTTCTTACCTCTTGACCCACTCTGGCTCGTCCTTTGTCTAAAATACCTGTGTATGTGAGTGTTATGGCGCAGATTGGTGCCTTTGTCTAGTTGTCACTTTCTCCTAACCTATTCGCTCACTTATTGCATTAAGATCTGATGACGACGATTTTTCGTAGCTTTTTGGGCTATTAAAAGGCAAGGAATCTGAAAGGCTTAATATTTATTCGCACTAAAAAATACAAAAAATACATTTAATAATATTTTACTATCAATTCAAAAATATGTATATGTATGTGTATAATATCCTACGACTAAACAAACATTTAAGCAAAATATCATTAGAATAAAAAGAAAGCAATATTCGTATTGAAGTATAAGCAAAATAAAGTTGTGCTGTCCGGGTGTTCGACTTTGTATTTTAAAGTAAAATTTCAGTCACCTATTTATTAATAATATTGACTATCATCGCCAAGTAGCGTGTATCTTTCAACGACTCACTCTCTGGTCACCGCTATATCGAGTTCTCAACTGCGAGCCGAAAGAGTTTCAATAAAGGCGAAAGGCTCGCTGGGATATGTTTAAGAAAACTGGTATATAGTCAAAGGACTTGGCAGCAGTATAATGGAGTCATTCAAATTTGCATGTCCGTCAGAAAAATACATTACATTATTTATCACACATGTAATGTATTACATACTACTTTTCCCGCTGGGTATTAATCGCCTTTATTCATAAAACTAGAGATAATATACTGATCAAAAAATTTCGGCCATAAAAGTATGTGTACATCAGTCTTACTAAAGGTGCTCAAAAAAGACATGTGCAAACGGCCCTATATTCCTAATAGCGTGGAAAACCTTGTGAAACTGCTCTGCAAATCCTAGTTAGTACGGTAAAGTAAGGTGGGTGTTTCGTCAGGGGATTTTCATGGCTGCCTTTGACAATGTTTTTTTTTTTTGCGAGCATGAGATAAATTGGTCGTTCTGCACTTAATTCATTACCCAGTATAACTCTTTTAGATTTATTTCATTTGGTGAGGCTTCAAAAGCTGCCTACATGAGCGCTTAGAGGTCCAGGATATGCCTTCAGACTAGCCATTCTTGGCTTCAAAATCTGCCTACATGAGCATATTGTCTCGCTTAGTGGTGCTGGATATGCCTTCAGACTGAGCTTTCTTGGCTTTTTTTTTATCAGAACCAGACCTTGGATACTCTAGGATCTTATCAGAGCTTGAAACTAGGGTTGAACATTTCTATTATATATTGTATATACAAGATGAAGACACTGTCTTACACTTTATCAGCAGTTGTCTGGCATTTCACATTCTCAGGTTTGTTGGAAACCAGTGCTGTTAGCTCTACATATTCAACTCTCTGGAATTCTCCTTAAGCTTGTCTTCTACAATTAATATATGTATATCATGTGAAACATCCTTTTCACGGCGCCCTATAGGCGATTTCAATTTCATATGGAATAGCAAATAGTGTACGGCGACTAACCTGTTCTTTCAAGTTGGAAATCCCGCTCACTTCGTATAGGGGTCCCTATATGTATATGTAAGTACATAGTACTATAATAAAACACAGATTAGTATTAATGACGCCACAAATTTTTCAACGTCGCCGAACACATAAAGCCGTGTAAAACCAAGCCGGAAGAAGATATATATATATAGATGAACGGAATAAAAAACCTAAAGTCTGTTAGTGAGTAACGAGTTGCGACTTTATTGAAATTACTGCTTTGTAGGTGATTGTAGGTGATTATGGGTATTTAAAGTAAACTTAAAAGACAACCCCTTGAGGCCATTAGTCGTAAAGCGTAACAAAAAAAAATAAAAATAGCAAGCAAACGAACTCTTTTATTTTTATAAGTATGCGTTAACTCACCTGCCTGTATTTCGCAGATATCTTTCTTCAGTTCTTTCTCACTCATTCACAGGTGTGTTGTAGTTATAGTTGAATTTGGCGTTAGCTTCTCTTCTAGAACTGGTGGCGATTCCTCGATGGATTCCTGTTCCTCAGCGCCGTAATAGGCAACACTCTCCAAGGAGGTGGCTAAACCAGAATCTGTTGTGTCAATGTCAGTAAGCGACCCATTAACGTTGTATACAGCGGCGAAAGGTGACTGATGACCACTGGACGAGTTCGATGTGGACGTATCCCACAATGGACTACCACCGCTGCTCGAGCTACTGCTGCTGCTAATAGTACCGGCGTTTCTTGCCCTCATTGACTCTTCATATTGCTGTCGCCTCAAATACTGTCGGTTTAGTTGAAATTGCTTTTGCATTGGGTGTTGTAGCTGTTGTAGCTGTTGTGGTTGTTGTTGTTGTTGCTGTAGTGACGTTGTGGCACACAATCGATTTTTCAAATTACGCTTCAATTCACGATTCACTTTGCGTTGCTGCCGCCGCTGCGCCCATATATGCTCCAAGGCAGTGGTGCTGTTACCACCACAGAGCGGCTGCCAAAATCGTGGCCGATATTGTGATAGTGGATGGCTTTTTTGTTCTACCTGTTTGTTTTGTTGAGCTTTTCGCAACTCCAATTCCTGTAGATGAAAATGGTGACGACAGTATCCCTGCGGGCTGTTCGCGCAAAAACGACAAGCTTCAGCTAAAATACCGCCCGAGCCGTCTGGCTCACCGCACGCCGATGTAGAATTCCGCTTACGCGTCTGCTTATTGCTCTCCAAGCCCCCAGTGTGGTACTGCTCTAGCAGGAGCTTACGTGTCGCGGCCGATGATGTCTCAGCGGCCTCTTTGAGTAGGCGTGAGTTCTTCGGATTGATCCATCGATCGTGTATATGCAGAACAAGCCGCTGACAGTATAAACATAGTGATTGAAACAATAACAACAAAACGATAATCATATATATGGAATGCTTGCTTGTTCAAGAATGGAAGGTGACGTAGATGGAGACCAATTGGCGACTAGTTAAAAATACCGCTGGTATGCGGTTGGGGTTTTCTTACTGACAGGTTTTTTGGTTTTTTTTTTTTTTTGTTGAAAACAAGATGCTGGTCGAAGGAGTTAGAACGGACCCTTCGATTTCGTTGTAGGCTGAGGATTTTCTTCAATAAAGTACATACATGTGTATGTACATATGTCGACGTTGCCTGCGAAGGTGGGTGGATGGTAGATACTTTATAGGCGCTTTTGTGTTTGTGTGTGTATTTGAGAAGAACTTTTCGATTTTTTCCAATGCCTTTCGCTTAAAGCTTATTGTCGGATGCAATTAATTTTCGTTGATTCTTAACCGAACAAAAAAAAACAAAAACTTATAGAACAAGTAAATTTAACTTTGGTATTTTTCAATATTTTTAATAAATTTCTTTCTTCCACGAACACTTATCGACTTGTCGTGCACTCGCTCCTTAGCTAGCTCGTTAGATGGTCTGTATTACTCCATTCCTGTCTGACTTCTGTCAGCCGACTACGACTGCTCTACACTACTGCGCCCAGCAACCCCCTTTTCGCTCGCTCCGAATTTTCCAGTCTGCATTGCAGTCATCCAGCCAACCCCATTTGACTTTTTATCTATCGCTTCATCTACTCATTTGTGATTTTCCACCCCCAATTGGATCAGCCAATGTCGGTATGTATGCACCTACATATATATTTGTATACATATGTACATATATGAATAAGTTACCGTTTTCTTCTGTGTTTAATTTTATCAAATTCTTTGTTTTGTTACCGGCGTTCGCTCACGCCACCCTTTCTAAGTGTGTTCATGTATTGCTCTTTAAGCGTGGTTCTGTTAAGCCTTAACAGTCGCAAGTGCTTCATCCCTAATATTAGGTGTGTATATATATAAACTTGTGTTAATACATATGTGTATATACATACATACATATGTATATATGTACGGATATTTTCGCCCGCATTATGCGTATTTGCTTATCAGCAGCTGATATTTTTAGTAGATGCATACATTTGCATATATATATAGACACATCCCAGTGGGAAAATGTAATGTATGGTAATCGAAAAAATAATCTGTATAAAACAACCGTTGTCGCATTCGAAAATGCTTTTTTCCATGGCGCTGTTCTAAAAATGTAAGGCATTAAATATCGCAGTAATCTAGTAAACGAGGAATGTATGCGATTTAATATGAATTTTTTGGGGATTTTCCGAAAACATTAAGCCCGGATCACACAATGGATGGAATGCCTTAATTGATCTCCTAATGGTGTGATTTCACAATAAATTGTCTCATGCGGCAATCGAGGCCAATATTGTGCTTATTATGCCCAATCAAACATAAACCGGGTGCAACAACAACAATTGTTTGAAATGTTTTGAATCGTGTGACAGCACAGCAATTGGAAAATTTCAAGTCGTTTTCATTTGTTGCGTCCTTGAGTGTCCCCCTAGGTAACATTCTTGGTCTAATTTTATTTATTCTCTTCATCAATGACACTGGTTCCTGTTTTAAAAATTAGAAAGTTTTACTTTTTACTATTTTTCGTAGTATTGTCTGCGAGACTGATTCTCATCTCCTACAACAGGACTTAAATAATCTCATCGAATGGTGTCACAGGAGCAAACTTTCATGCAATACTAACAAATGTTTCCATATGTCTATTTATAAATCTCCGGAGTTTCGGCAACCGTGCTATACTATTGCTAAACACCAACTTATTTTAGTTAAAGATTTTATTGATCTTGAAGCTGTGTTCGATAATCGTTTTACTTTCAGAAATCACATATCGCACACCGTCTTCAAAAGAGTCATAACACAAAATTTTGTATTTTTGAGATTATGCGCTAAAAATGTACGCAGAGCTTCTATTTACCTTTCAGCAAAAGTTGGAACAAATTTTTGTTATAATTTGTTAAAAAAAAAACCCTAAGGTTAAGTCGCCCTTGCCCATATGATTAGCATGTGCTAAGAAATAGTTTTTCACATTTTCTTACAAACGTATTATTTTGAGTTGTGACTCTTTTGAAGACGGTGTGCGATATGTTATGTCCTTCCCAAGGTTTATAGTAGGAGTCCTCATCTAAAGTGATAAAGGGATAAAATGCTTAAATTTTTCAGTTTATCCGCATTCCTACATGAACGCGCCTTGGTAAATAATTGCATAACATTGTTTATTATTTAACTTATATGGCTAGTTACGTTTCAGTTTTACCTCGTCCATTGTGTTCATTTGCTTTTTATGTGTTTGTAGCGAAAGCGACCACCTGGCCACCTGTCAGGGTAGAATCCACCAAAATCGTTTGATAAAATGATAAAATTTGGACGAAGTCGATTTCCATACAAGGTTTGACAGTTCATTTATCAAAATGATAAATTTATCATTTTATCAATTTTATCATTTTTGATTTCAAAGGATTTTAAATATTTGTATACCAGGAGACTTCTCTACAACACTTAAGTTCGTTCAAAACTTGAGTATGCCGCTATTATTTGGAATCCGATTTATAATTGCCATGCTACTAGAATTGAAAGGGTGTAACGTACATAAGAATACTTTGCACTTCAATCGATAAAATTTGAAGAGCCGCTGCCCCAGAGTTGGGCATTATTCGAATAAATTGTTATTTAGATAATTATTCGAATAAACTTTTATCCGTAATATAATTATTCGCAGATAACTCATTTACGAATAAATTATTCGTGAATAAATTGCTTTCGAATAATTTATTCGTTGTTTTATTCGTTATTTTAAATAATGAATAAAAACTCATTTTTAACACATTGAGCCACCTTTTACTTTTATTTCTATTGTCAAGGATTGTGAGTTAGCTGAATTCTGTTAACTATTTTGCCAAGAATACTAGCTCATTCCCTCTGGTTTCGCGGCCCCTGATAAGATTTTTTGCATTGGCCCATGCAAGAATAGCGTTGAAAACCAAATATGGGTAAAGTAAAAATTCTTAATTTCGGTTGAACAACTAAAGAGCACACATATTTCTGCCAAAAAAATAGCGCTCTGATGCTATTTATATGCAAGAAAAAATTCCTTTCAATGTCATGAGCTTTACCGATGGTCTTATTTCCATTTGTGAGATCTTTTCTAAGCGTGCGTAATCTTCTTCTTTGGTCTTGCAACTACAACATTGGTCCGATGCGTCAACTTCTAGGCTTATGTCATGTAGGCCAACAAAAGTCCTTATAAGGAAGCTGAAGAGCACAGATGTGCGTTTTCTATTATAGGAGAGCCAAAAATCCTCAATGTAAAATTTGGCCATTGATATACCAACAGTGGTCTTTCTTGGAAGGATNGGTTTCGCGGCCCCTGATAAGATTTTTTGCATTGGCCCATGCAAGAATAGCGTTGAAAACCAAATATGGGTAAAGTAAAAATTCTTAATTTCGGTTGAACAACTAAAGAGCACACATATTTCTGCCAAAAAAATAGCGCTCTGATGCTATTTATATGCA